TTTCCCATGTTTGCTTTATTATCCAGATGAGCGATACAGTATTAGAAAGCACATATAACTATATACTAAAATAGCTGTAATAATCCCGAGTTATAAACTTTTCCGAATGAACTCGAGTATTCAGAAGGTGCCTTTGGACTTATAAAATATTTGTGAAGTTGCTGGATTCATTTATTCAAACAGGCCTTAAAGAAGTTGTTCTTGTTGGCGAGGATAACTATTATTCATCAGATTTTCGCACGTTTGTTTCAACAGAGTGAACAAAATTAAAGTAGTTTTCTTAGTACTTTCATGTTGTGTGTCCAGTAGGCCTAGTGCAGCTGTGATGATGATGCCAAACTCGATAAGAGCGCAGACTTTATATAATTAGAGTCACCAAATACTCAAATATAAAGTGATTTGTTAGTTATTAACAAGTTTGCCTGGTTTCCGTGACATGAAATGTGTCTGCCTGTATAAATTCATTTCTTAAAGTTTTTGCTCATGTATTTTGTGAGTATTTTGTGAGTTAACAAATAAAGGACATGCACAACTGTTCAGTGTTCCCCCAACACTAATCAAATTAAGTTTACCTCCCCACCCATCCCAAGCAGTTTAGTGCTTAGATTGTGTCCCTTTTTCCGAGGATTGTCCTTTGTTAATTTAGACCTGGTGATAAAGAATCTTGCAATTTACTAAATCTAACAGATATGGAGAACATTTATAACGAAATATAATTAATTGTACCTAAATTTAATCCAGTTTGTCGAGACTCCAAATTTGATATTGTCTGGTCATATCTTCTTTTTAAGTTCTTTTTTAAAGTCTTTTTAAAACAAAGACATTCAATCAATACTGATATGAACATTTTGACATTTGAATCTTTCTATAGTACATAAATCCATGACCTACATCATAGGACATGTCGATGTAAAATAATTGGGCATCACGGTGTATATTTATATATATATATATATAGTACTTTAAATATATACTGCGATGCATCTTTAGCATGTGACAAGTTCCTGTAACCCACATCTAATAGGTCAGTAGGGGTTCACTACAGTACATTAAAACAAAATCCCCATGGGCCTTAACAGTCACCTGAACTGTAATACAAATGCTATTTGTTGTGATTTGACAAAAACAAATATTACATATGTATATCAGGTAATTGTCAGATAAAAGGGAAATAATGTAGTAAGCAAACTTTAACCCTCCCCATGGAATAATGGGTGTCCCAGGGGTTGTGAAATTCACATTTTGATGCAGCACATTAGGAAATTTACACCATTGAGGCTTTGATACTAGCAAATCAGGTTATGAAGAAGAAAATTGTTGAAGTTTTATCTAATTTGATCCCTTTGGGCTCCACCCCTCAGGCCCTGGTGATGCACATGATGACAAGTTTGAATTATTTTCAATTGCAAATGAAAAAAGAAATACCGGTGAATGAGTAACATATGATATACACCTATACATCAGATGTAAACTTTCTATAAATCAGATGTACACTGTACACCTCCAATACACCAGGTATCACCTCCTATACATCAGGTATACACCTCCCATACATCAGGTATACACCACCTATACATCAGGTATACACCTCCCATTCTTCAGGTATACATCTTTACCTCAGTTAAACACCTCGCATACATCAAGTATACACCACCTATACATCAGGTATACACCTCCCATGCATCAGGTATACACCACCTATACATCAGGTATACAACTCCCATTCTTCAGGTATACACCTTTACTTCAGTTAAACACCTCCCATACATCAGGTATACACCAACTATACATCAGGTATACACCTCCTATACATCAGGTAAACACCTTCTTTACATCAGGAACACACCTCCCATACATCAGGTATACACCTCCCATACATCAGGTATACACCATCTATACATCAGGTATCACCACCTATACACCACCTCCACTATCTCCCATACATCAGGTATCACCTCCTATACACCACCTCCACTATCTCCCATACATCAGGTATCACCTCCTATACATCAGGTATAAACCTCCTTTACATCAGGTGTACAACTCCTATACACCAGGGCATTTCAGGTCCCTATTCACTGTAGGTAAGTGATTATTATACCTCACATATATAAGAGTTGTCTTATTGGTTGTTAAGATTACCTCTTACCATACAAGAAATTTGAGCTTGGGGATCTCAACAATTTCCATGCTATGACCCAGGGAGGAAGTACTCAGGGATTGGTTGGGCTCTATTAAGGACTTGATAGCATGAGTGTTTTTTCTCCGATGGCAAGCAACATATGAAAGGGATCTGAACTGATTTCCTGTTAAGACCTGGGGAATAAGCCATCATGGGCAAGGCAGGACACTGGAGCCAATCTTGTTAGCATGGATGTATTCAGGCTATGCCTGGAAATCATTTAAAGTACATAAAGCTTTACACCAAAAATTCCTCTATGACTGCTTTGTCCCAGTTTTTTAGACTTGAGATATGCTACAATCTGTAAAGTCATTAAGAAAGGGTAGTTTTTTAAGCTGAAATTGTCTTATTTTGCTCTATATTGGGCCATGTATAGGCTCAATAAAAATATATGAAAAATGTTGTTTTTTTACCTATCTATACCTACCCGTATTTTTTCAAACATGTAACAGGAACAAATATATTTTGTTGTATATAGAGGATACTCATACTCAATAAGTGATGACTCTTTATGAGGTAAATCAAATAGTGTAAGTTTATTTGCAGTAAAATCAACAGCAATTAGATGATATATAATTGAAAATAGTCCTAAGAGATACTTCATATACATAGATAATTAAAAAATACAAAATGTAGTGTACAGAAAATGTTAAGATAGGATTATGTATACACAGTATATAAAGGTACTATACAGAATATAATTATGAAGTACAAATATATTTCATTTTTTATATCCATCTGTATCCAAATCTTCATGCTCAGCAGATGTTTATACATGTATTAAACATAAAAATATATACAATACCAGTTAACATTTTACTAAGACAGCTTATTAAACTGATGCCCCGAAAAAACAGGAATAATAATAGCAGATGACCAATTTGCAGGAAAACACACGTTTTCTAAAATATTGTTAAACAACATACACATATTGGGAAGGAGTAATTCTTCACAGTTAATAAAGCATTCATTTAACAATCCATCCAGTCCATGCGCTTTGCCACATTTCAAATTTCGAATAACAGATCTTACTTCATGGAAAAGAATCGGTGCATCTAGTTCATCATACACAGTATCTTTATCAATGAAAATGTTGTCCTGTTGAATTGAGTCATCATCGTTTTGTATATTTGACACATTTTTAAAATGATCATATAGTTGCTCGCCTGTCAATAATGGCGAATTACCTTTTTTCTTGGCAAACTTTCTGTAAAAATACCTAGGATCGTGTTTTCTCATATGTTCCAGCATGTAAACTTAGTATGACATTTGTTACTATTAAAACTATGCAATGCATCCAAATACTGCTTACGCAATTTGTTTACATGATCATTAAACCAGGGTTTATTATCTCTACTGGCAACAGTAACATTTACATTAACAGGGGGCGTGGCTTTGGTCATACGAATATCAGGTGGTTTCTTTAGAAAGAAGGGTTCCATAATACCTTTCAATATTTTTGTAAAATTATCAACACAGGTATCAATAGAGTCTTGATTTAATTCTTCAGTAATAACAACCGAGTTGTTCAAGCTATCTGAATGAACTCTTATAGCTTTCATAAACTGATATTTATATCCATTCCTCCATTTAAATAAAGTTCTACTCTCCAAGTCTTGCTCGTCTAATTCTGAATTCACCCAGCCCGTTGACATTCCAACCGCATCGTGACCTGATGAGCTTAGCCGCTGCACAGCCGTTGTTTATCGATCAGCTAACTTCGCGAACAGTACGGATTGACTTTTTGTAACTAAAATATTTTACAGGGTATTTTTGTTTCAAATTAAGGTCTATTGTCAATTTTAAAGATAATCATTGCTTTCAAACATGCTGGTATTTAAAATGTGCAAAGTGGAACTATTTGTTTATTGCTCAACTGTTTATTTTGTCACTATTGACAACGCATCATTTTTCCCGCGAAAAAGGCTGTTCAATTAATATTGTTTTCAGGACGGCGTTTTTCTGTTTTACGTGAAAACCCCTACTTTTTCTGAATTTCAAATAATGAAAGTAAACATAATAGAACAATAATAGAAGGTTTGAAATGCATCTTTTTAACATTTAACGCGCATCATGGAATATGTTTGAACGGAACTGTGTTGCATACCCTCATCAATGTTGCAAAGATGCATTTCAAACCTTAAATGTAAACATTTCATGAATACTCCCACGACTTAAAACGACGAGCGCATAATAAACCTGCATGCTTTGAGTTTGATTTTGTTAAACGCCCTATTAACAGCTTAGGTCATTTTAGGATGAATGCGATATTGTGTTCTTTTTTGCTAGAAGCAGGGTATATCGATGTCCTAAGTGAACCTAGGCGTAATGATTTACCAAGTGAACCTAGGCGTAATGATTTCCCAAGTGAACCTAAGTGTAATGATTTAATATAATTTGTTTTGTTAAATTCATGATGTGATTAAATCAATCATGCGCATATAATTCATGATTCAACTGGATCTTCCATTGTCAAGAAAATAAAATGCTGCTTAAAACTCATTCTGCCATAGCGGTACTCTTGTTCACAGACAGGTTTTAAAGCTAAAATCTGGTTGAGTTCGATGAAAACCTTTATGATGGACAATTCTGTAACCTTGTGTTCCAATGAATGATAATGCGCAATGTATCGACAACCTCGTTACTGAGTTTTTTTCGCTACAACTAGAAGACAACTCATCGATTTTAAGTTGCATACCCCCCTACAGAACCGGGAATGGTGTCTTCCTTGTCTCCTAATTAGAGGACATTGAACAGATCAAAATTGATCTGCTGCCCCCATTGCAACACTTGGCATATTTGTCGTTTCATTTCTTACCTGTCTTCGTTGTTTTCTATCTTCTTTCTGTTTCAGGAGATGTCTTCCTAGGCTCCCGTCCTCATGATCCTGGCTGTTGCCAGGACGTTAAACCACAAACAAACTTTCAAACCTAAGGCAATTTGACATGTACTGTTCATGAATACATAAATTTTGTTAATTATATGCTTAACAGCACACCAACATAGCAGGGCCAATAAATGGTCGATGCAATAAAAACAGGAAATAACGTCAACCAAATGAAAAAGTAAAAAGGCTCACAAATAGAGACGACGTACGAAAAAAGTAATCAGCACGAGTAATGTACTATATGGTTTATTTTAAGTGAAATTATTAATAATCTATCAACTCGTCCTGTTACAACTCTTATGTTTGGTTAGGTTGGTTTAGTATTGTTTTACGTCCTATCAACAGCTACATTTGCATGGTCATTTAGGGACAGCCTCCCCTGTGTATAAGATACCTGCGTGTAGTGCATGCGTGTGTTTTGAGAGGCTGCGATATGTTCGCGTCTGTGTCCTTGTGACTTTATAGTGCTACCTCACTGAAACATACTGCCAACGACACCCAGCAGGACACCTCACCCGGTCATATTATAATGACAACGGGCGAACCAGTCTTTCCACTCCTAAATTGCTGAGCGTTAAGCAGGAGTATACGTAGAAACTACCATTTTACAGACTCTGGTATGTCTCGGCCAGGGGACAGAACTCAAAGCCTTCCTCACAGGGGCGACTGCTCAACTAAATGCTAAAAGTGAGGCATTGTCAAGAGAGACAATAGGAAGAAGAAAGTTGTTAAGAAAGAAGAGAAAAGATAAGATCCCAAATTTAGTGGCCTCTTACGATCATGCAATGGGGGCAGCAGGTACAATTCTTACGCCCTACATGTACCTGCAGAGACTACATTAGGAAGAAGAAAGTTGTTTGGAAAGAAGAGAAAAGATAAGACCCCAAATTTAGTCGCCTCTTACGATCATGCAATGGGGGCAGCAGGTACAATTCTTACGCCCTACATGTACCTGCCGAGACTACATTAGGAAGAAGAAAGTTGTTTGGAAAGAAGAGAAAAGATAAGATCCCAAATTTAGTCGCCTCTTACGATCATGCAATGGCGGCAGCAGGTACAATTGTTACCCCTTACCTGCAGGGACATGATCGGGCAACGCAGTAAAAGGGAACGGGGATATATACTCTTGTTAATCCATTTTATGTTTTCAAAAATATTTTTTCATACTTTATTTATTTTACACCAATTATGAAACAAGTTATTACAACTCATATCAAAAATCACTCTTATTAGCCCGTATGTGGGCATGCAGGGGTCTTAATTTGGGATAAACCGGAGTGGCCGGGGAAAACCCATAAACCCAGGTGACACCATACATTTTTTCGTCCAATCAGGAAATCGAACCCTGGCCGCCTTGGTGAAAGGCAAGTTTTTCCACTGCGACAGCTGACCACTCAAAAATAGTTGTTGATATTATTGATACTTTGCAAAGACTCGTACATGTATAACATTATCGTTTTTTCTGTTCAACACAGGGTGGATGAAACGGAGTCGATCGAAGCCAACGACAACCATGAAATATCCTGTCGCGTGTGCTTGCATCAAAGCAACAGTCTAGCGTCTGATATGGTAAGTTGTAGAAAAATCATGCTCTCCAATTATTGTTCTAAAAGCTCCTTCTATATTTCAGCGACCACACATTTGACACAGCAGAAAGGAGGTGGCTTTCAGAACGACGTAAAGAAGACACTGTATCGTCTAACAGAAATACATTGCAAAAACGGTCTTTGGGTGTCCGGTGGGTAAAAGCCAGAACCAATGAGTCAAAAATATTACCAGACAAAAACATGGGATTGAGAGACGTTTAAGACAAGACATATGCCAACAGTAAACCAACGAAGACGAAAAGTGTAACAACATTTTAATGTAAGAAATGTAAAAAAAATGAATGCAGTCAATAATATAAATGTTCAAAAGAAATTAGAATACGGCTAAGAATACATTTATTTCTCGTTCCTCGGTGAACAAAAAATCACTAATATCGAGATCCATCATTTCTATAACAATAAACAAAATTTTGATTGATTTTTACACGTATTGTGGAAATTGATTTCATGTTAACATATCAATATCATTGAAATCTGATAATCCTCATACTTAAAAATGCCGCATTGTAAAGTGATTTACTATAGAAGCAAATATTTGGTAATCTATTCAACTGACAAGGTATGACTATGTTTTCATCTTTATTATTTGCTACGTGATTTCAACAGCCTGTCACTAAAGACGAAAGACATGTCATGACGATACACGCCTACAATGTATTTTAATGTTCCTGCATTAATTACATATAGCAAAATGTCAAGCACTGTCTAATGTTCCTGCATTAATTACATATAGCAAAATGTCAAGCACTGTCATCAAATAAAACATACTTTCAAATTATGTGGAAATGGTTTTGTACTAATTTGGTATATTTTCTACCAGAGAAAACACAACTGTGGCTGAACTAGCTTGCACAACTTATTACCAGTGTCTATACCAGTTACTTTCGTGTCGGTAAAGTTTTTCCACAGTCACATTCTTGTCGTCTATCACCAGGTGTGTTTGTGTCTAAATGTCCTTGCAGTCTACTCTTTAAGTGACATGCAGCACAGCAAATGTCACATTTGTGCTACGGATCACTATGAAACTGCTCGTGCTTGTCCAGGTCCTCCTGAGTGACATATAGTTTTTGGAAGGTGCAGCAAATGAATGAAGCTCTCTCCTTATGAATGTTGCATCTGAAGAATAAATACGAATTAATGTAACTACGGTTATTGAAGAAAGTAGCCAATCGGATTATTGTGCTTATCTAAAACCCGATCAGTAACACAGATATGATATTCATATCAGACGATCTTTATATAAGGGAGAATGCACAAGGATCAATACGGGAAATAAAGCACTGTAATTACACCATTTTATCAAAGACATTTATGGTTCTTAATGCATTCGTTCTAGGCCTGAATAGCTGTTTTCTACAATGCTGTTAACAAATCCTACATATGTGATCTTCAAAGCAGATAAAGGACACTTATCTTAACTAATTTAACAATTCATCCCAGCACGCTGTTGACAATACATCACAAACCTATGCTAGAAGGTGTTTTTTCAGAAGTCGTTTGATTTTTTTTAGCAAATATAGTACAGGTCAAGGTCAATAATTTTTTGCACTTCATCCAATTAAGCTACTTGCCTAACATCATGATTCTATACCTTTTGGTTTCTCAGAGGAAAACGTTTGACTTTGTATATATGTATTCCCATTAGACCCATATGACTTACCAAATACACAAAGGTTATTATTATTGCGAATAATGTCGAGCTTCATAAGCTTCTGATCAAATGCGGTAAACCTTACGTTTATAAGAGTCGGCGGAAAGTTCGAACACATTTTTCACAAGAAAAACAGTATTTAACTAGTACTAATTGTAACGGATGGCCGTTACAGAAGTCCCCCAACGACCCCTGATGGACTTAGGCAAAATCAGACAACAGCTAAATTGCGATCAACGAAAGGACTCCGTTTTGTTACCATGGCAACTGAGTTGTTCGAATCTGTTAATATTGTGTTCTGCATCCTTTCAATCCCCTATGTACCAATTCTGGGCAGATTTAGACCACAGCTAAATTTCGACCAATCAAAGGCCTCTATTTCATTACCATGGCAACTAAACTTTTCGAAACTGTTACCATTGTGTTCGGCATCCCTCAAAACCCCTATGTACCAATTCCGGGCAGAATCAGACAACATCTATAGTTCGACCAATCAGAACCAGTATATGGCAGCCATTTTGTTTAATTATAAAACGGATGTCATAGTTGAGTTCGCGGTACCATCATACACCTACATGCCAAATTTGGAATGCATTGGGAAATATATGTAAAACATGTAAAATAGGATAGGTGGCATAGGCTATCTTTGGCGAACACCTTTAGAAATTTTAAATTCCCAAAAATTTCAAAAATTCATGGCGGCCATCTTGGACTTCCGGTCGAGATAAAAATAGCTTGTTGCACACCTATACCCCCTAATGAGTATATGTGTGTAGTTTCGTGATGATACGCCCAGCAGTTTCTGAGAAAACCTCTGGACAAGTTCATGGCTGAAGAATAATAAGAAGAAGAAGAACACAGAATAATAATAATAAGAAGAAGAAGAAGAAGAAGAAACAGAGTAAAAACAATAAGTCCCCCAAAACTTAGTTTTGGGGGACTTAATAATAATAATAAGAAACGGAGTAAAAACAATAAGTCCCCAAAACTTTGTTTTGGGGGACTTGATAATTGGGTAACGGGTTGTATTCATAATGTGTGACAATCGTATTTAACTGTAACGGACAATTTGTACATAAGTATGCCACATTTTAACGTTGGTTGAGATTCGTGGCTGCCCTCTGGCCGAGACATACCAAAGTCTTTAAAAATGGTTGTTTCTACTCCTGCTTAACGCTCAGGAAATTAGGAGTGGGAAGACTGGTTCGCCTGTTGTCAGTATAATGTGACCGGGTGGGGCATACACCACACGCATGCATCTTGCACACAGGGGAGGCCGTCCTTAAATGACCTTAGCTGTTAATAGGACGTTAAACAAAATGAAACCAACCCAAATTGAAAACACGTACACGCCAGCTATACAACTTTATGTCTCGACCATGCATAACATCCTATCAGTACGGAGTGCGGAACGTTGACGTCGCATTATAGACAAAACAGAAACGTGTGTATTGTCATACTGTTGTGTATTTGATTAAATATGAGATTGAAGCGTATAAGTACAGAATCTGTGACTACGCATCCTTAATGTTTTTACACCTCCCAGAACACCTTTGAGCATGTACCCGAGCTGAGTTCCAAACACAGTTACCGTGTGCAGCCATTGGTGAATTTGAGTCGTTGGCGGAGCACCAGTAAATCAGGACGATATATCGCACATACGTCGTGTATAATCTGATTACATAATCAGGACAAGGTCACCTATCCCTAATTAATACTTAACTCATGTGCTACCTACAT